ATAAGTGTACCTTCACCTTTACCAGAAACTGCCTAATTGCTTAAAAAATGACTGTAATAATTATAACTCTATGAGCAGTATTAAGAGAGTTCTCATTTTCCTACACTCTTGTTATAATCAAGGTTAACATATTTGTAGATCTGAAGCATGTGACGTATTATTTTGTCTTTTTTAAAAAATATTTTTTTATTGACTTCAGAGAGGAAGGGAGAGGGAGAGAAATATCAATGATGAGAGAGAATTATTGATCAGCCATCTCCTGTACACCCCCTACTGGGGATAGAGCCTGCAACCTGGGCATGTGCCCTTGACTGGAATCAAACCTGGGACCCTTCAGTACGCAGGCCGACGCTCTATCAACTGAGCCAAACCAACTAGGACTACTTTGTCTTAATGTGCGTTTACCTGATGATTAGTGAAGGTTTGCTTTGTCTTTTCACCTTTTCCCATTTTTTATAGAGTTGTTGTGTTTTCTTATTTAGTTCTTTGTTTATTCTAGAAATGAACATTTTTGAAATTCTATATTTTGTAAACATATTTTCCAAGTTTGTGCCTTACTTTTAATTTGCTTAACGTTATATAGAAGTTTTAGTTATATTGTTAAATCTATCAAATGCTTCCATTAACGTTTGTATTTTTAATCCTTTGATCACCAAAGTCATGAATATATACTTCTGCATTTTCTTATAAAGTACCTTATTTTTCCTTTCATATTTACATCTTTACTCACCTGTAGTTTATTTTTGTGTATAATGCCAAGTAATAATTTAATTTTTTCCTGCGTGGATTTGAGCTCCAGAATCACAAATTCGTCTTTACAAGGGCTCCTCATCTGCTCAATTATGTTCAAAACCAGCTGAGTAAGGTCTTTCACAATATCTTTAACCACATCCTTTGGCCTTATCTCTCACCACACCCACCCATTTTCTTGTCAAACTAGATTCCTTATTGCAGTCACGCTTCTTGAAATATGCCAAAACTCCGCTCTTATTCTCTCCATACATCATGTTCTCTTCCTGTTGTTTTTCCTTACTGAACTGTAAGCTTCTTGAGAAAAAGACAGTATCCAATTCATCTTTGCATCTTCAATACTTAGCAGTGATTGAGCGGATTTTTCAAATACTTTTCTTCAATTTTATTCTGAATTTAATTTGGGCCTTATAGGTGGGCACTTCCACCTAATATTATCCATATCAATACATTTACTTTTTTCACATACAGAGAAAAAGTTTCCTGTCTTTTACCTACGTACCATGAAACGAGTGGTTCCAAATGTTAAAACTTTAAAAAGAACCCTCACAATACTGTTCATGAGCAGGAACCAAAGCCATCAGATCTGCCTCCCGTTTATAGGACAAAGTCTGCGGATGGCGCTAATGGTGACGTCAGTGAGCACCTTCTGAGGGCCTCGCCGGGACTCGCCACTTTGCAGGCGATGCCAGGGGTCGTCCCTCCTCCACTCAGCTCTGAAGTGAGTCGATGCGCTGGGAACATGTTCACCTCCATCGTCCTTCCCTTCCCAGGCGCTTCTTTCCGCCAGATGCCTCGACCCTGCAAAAAGGTAACAGGATGTACACATGACCTCAAGTCGCAGCCTGTCCTTCCATGGAACGCTGGAGTGTCCACGTGGTGGTTAGCATCCCTGACTACAGAGCCCCGGCCTGTGGAGCAGGAGCCACAGTTGGCGCTAAGTTCTCAGGCGTCTTCTAGAATCCCTCGCCGCCTTTCAAGCTGCCTGGTGACGGGGTCCCGCTGGGACCCAGGCTCCTCCTCTTGGCGGGCCTGGGCTCGGCGCCCCAGCTTACTGACCGGTGCCTCATCACATCGATGAACAGTTGCAAGGGGAGACCGCCCCGTGCCCACCCAGCCGATGCCCAACGGGCGGGCGCACCAATCGCGGGTTAGCGGGTGGCTGAACACGGTCGAGCCATGCGGCGGGTGAT